GTTTCATATATAACAATATTTTACGTGGATTGTTACATAAACATTATCTATGATATTCGCGCACGCCAGTCAAACAGAGAAATGTCAAAACACGATGAAAGTCGTGATATAAATAAAAATACATGATAAAAAGTACGCAATTAGATAGAAAGTAATCTTATTCATTGTACTTTGGCAGATTCGTGTCGGTTCTGTATTCGATTTTGACTATTTCGCGCGTATCGTATTAACATATATCGACATGCTCTTAACGATCGCTTGTTTTTTTTTATGCACAGATACCACAAAGCAACGAAGGGAAACATTGGTTCTGGTACGTGGATAAAAGCGTAACTTCGGAACTGCTGCAGCAATTGACAGCAGAATTTCTTCACATATTCGACAAATGTCCGTCGAGGTTGAAGAAGAAGATTATGAGCATATCCGCAAACCAGAGCCCGAATATGCATCACCCGAGCTTGTCGAATTCCCCATTTGTAAGTAATTTAGCTGAATGTACAAACATACGAACGTCTTGCGAGTAAGTCTGTTTGTAGAGAAACAATGGACATTTCTTTTTTAGGATACCGAGCCTCATAAAATTCAATCTCCGGCAACGACGTTGGACGGCGGCGGATCTGCTTCTCACTCGAGTCGGCCGCATCACTCACAGGAGAAGCAAGAGAAACCAGACGACAAGAAAGCAGGCGTGGCTTCATCGTCGTCGAGGCCGATTGATTACCGCGAGTATCGGGAGAAGAAGGAGCGCGAACGCCTTGAGAGAGAAAAGGCTGCGCCCGCATCGACGAGCACGCAGGGTCACATCACTGATCCTAGCAAGCATCACTCGCATCATCACAAAGCCGTGGCGAATGCGAGTGTGCCGAATAAGCATCAGTTGCCGTCAGTGCAGAAGTCGAGTCTTCATCACAATCATCATCACAGACCCGACATGAAGGTGAATCAACCGGTTTCGCAGAGACACTCGGCCGGTACACAAGCGAGAGAGGCCAGCCGCGATCCTAATCGACAGCGGTTGCCAAGAGAGTACAATGTCGGCGGCACAAGTACCGGTGTCGCGCATCCTTCGAGAGACGTTAGCTTAGACGCCGCTCTCGACGCCGTGGCTCATCGAACAGAGGCAGGAACCACGCAAGATACGAACCACGGTAACTCGCAAGAAAAGCCGTCGAGCAATAACAACTACAACCTGCACAGACTGAACGCGCTCGACGGCAAACAGCAACCATATGATAAAAGGATGCACGACCCCAGGCACAGCAAACCTGCCGACCATAAAAAGGACAGCGAGCAAAAGACATATGGCGGCAAGTATCCGGATCTCGCTTCCAGGGTCGACCGACAACAACGCAAATCGGATATCTTGGAGCAGAAGTGCGAGGAAGTGCGGAAGCTCATCGAGAAGCCACTTCCGCCGCCGCCGAAACCAGCGGAGGTGCCGTACATGTTGAATGCGCAAAAACAAGCGCATCACAGCAAGTACGATAAGTCGTTGAGCGCTTCGCACACGGCCGACGTGAAGCACTCAGCGATGGGTCAGGGCGCGCTGCCACAAGACAAGTCACCCAGCGCGCCCACACTCGTTTCCGCTGCGTCTCAAGTCTCGCAGAAGAGCACGCCAGCCAGAAGTGCACATAATCAGCACTCGGCTTACGGCGTGTCTCAAATCTTGAAAGACACCATCAAGAACGGCAGTTCCCAGGCGTGTCTATCCACATTGAACAACGTGGATGATTCGAAACCAGAAAAACGACCAAGGATGCACGACGACTCCGAGAAGACATCTGTCGACGTGCAGCAACTGACGCCACCCACCAGCCGGCATAGGTCGCTTTTCAGTCCAGAGGCGCCGACCACGAGGGAACCTCACGCGCAACGGCCTAAATCGAAACAGAGGACACCGCCCTCTGCGGCGAGGGCCATAAAACAAGAGCGCGTGTCGCCGTTCGCAAGTCCACCGACAACGCAGCAACAGGACTCATCGGCGATGAAGCGGCCGTCCAATGACAGCATGACGGCGCCGCCACACAAGAGGCCGCGTACCACCAGTACCGGCGAGAATACCGGCGAGCACTCGGTGAAAGTAAAGACCGAGGATCCATCTAGCCTGGAGGCCATGAGGATGCTCGGTCGCGTACCCGAGCTGATCCAACCGATTCGCGATGCTCCGCTGTCGACCACCAGCGGCCGAACCAGCTCTTCGGCGATCATCAGCGCTGACGTGAAGCCGTCAGAGCAATTGGTGAAATACGAGCTGGACGCGATAGTGCCTCGCCTCAACGCGACAATGACACAACATAAAGTGTCGTCGATGAGCGTGCAGACACTGCCAAACGGCTTGGATCCGAATGCAGTGGTGAAACAGGAACCTCTGGAGCATCACGTGAAAAAGGAACCGCACAGAATCCAGCAGGCGGTTACCACCGTGAAGTCCGAGCATCCACATTCCCACTCGCAACAGCCGAGGCTCGAGTATTCCCCGATGAAGTCCGCGCAAAGTATCAGCGCGTTGCTGCAAGAGCCACTAGCCCCGATGCCGTCGTTGCTGCAGACAGCAATGCAGCAGCAGCAACACGGCCAGACTCACAATCAGCAGATGCATTCGGACCTCCTACAACAACAGTCCGCTATTCATCTACTGACGAACCAACAACTCCCGATGACAACCTCCAGCAGCTTGTCCGTGTCGACCACAAGTGATACCTCGTCGATAATCTCGACGGTCGACATGAGTGCTCTCTCGTGCGTGCCGCTCACACATCGACCGAGCGGCACAGAGCCAACGTCCGTCTCGCTTCCGGTCGTCCCTCCAACGCCAGCGGTGCCTGCGCCCGAGGAGAAACGATCGGATCACCACAAAAGCGAGAAAAAGAAAAAAGAGAAAAAACACAAGCATAAGGATAAGGACAAGAGCCGAGAGAAACACAAACACAAGCACAAAGACAAGGACAAGGAGAAACATCGGGAGAAAGACAAAGAACGGAGCGAGGAGACTCCGTCGGCGGCGCCCATCAAGATCACTATTCCCAAGGATAAGCTGAACTTGAGTACGGAAGCGCCGCCGAGTACGAACATCGCGGCCGGTAGCAGTGCGGCGTTACCGGACAAGAACAAGTCGCCGCAGAGCACGGGACTAAAGATCAAGATCCCGAAGGAGCGACTCAAGGGGGCTGACAGCATGCCTAGTTCACCAGCACAGCCGATGGTCCAGGGACCTCTGAAAATCAAGATACGGACTGACAGTATCGCCAGGGGTTCCACAGCACCGACTTCGCTGTCGCCGCAAGCTCCGCTGTCCCAGCTGTCGACGCCAGTGAGCAGCAGTTCGAGCGGCACTGCGAGCAGTTCACACGCAACCTCTGAGTCGGTGAACGAAAGCATGAGTCGGAAACGTGAGCGGACCGACCAGACGGAAAGCGGGCCGACTACCAGCGGCCAGTCGTCCGCGAAGAAACAGTCGCAGTTAGCTGCAGCGGGCTATGGCCAGGGACACCGACCTGGAGAACGGCAGAACGGCAGGCATTATAGCTCCGGGAGCAGTAATAAGGTACGTGGAGGTGGTAGAGGCGCCCGTCATTACAGCGGTCGCGCCCCCCCACCACTAGCCACTGGTCCTTACGCAGCATCCAGTCAGCGCAGCGGCGATGGTTACTATCAACGAGATAGTTATGGCAGTAAACACGCCCGCAACCAACCTCCCTACCCGCATCAGTCTATCCCTACACTTTCACCCGCCGTTCGCGGCGATCTAGGCTATGCGAGGGGTGGCCACGCCGGCCAGGCGCGCGCGGATCAGTACTTCTTCGCCAACTATCCGTCGCACACGATGTACAATCCCGCCGGGTACATGTTCGACCCTGCTTTCTATCAACAACATTACCAACAATACCAGCAACAGCAGGCCTTTCCATCAATGTACTCGGCGGGAGGTGTTATAATGACGCCGGAAGGCGCTATTGACACGTCGGTGCCGCCGCCGTCTATGCTGCCAAATCTTCGCCGGGGCCAGACCATCATACACCAGCCGTCGGTGTCTGCCCAGCAGGATGCGGCATCATCGTTGCCACCCCCGCCGCCTCCGCCTCCTCCGCTACCTTGTGGCCCGCCACCTAGTTCTACACCTCCTCCTCCTCCACCGTCTTCGCCGTAGCTAGGTGCTCTGGATAAGAACATTCCATCATTGTTCTTATGCCGTATGGTAGATCCGACCATGGTGACTGCTCCTCGAGTCCCGGCAGCGCGTTCTTACGATCCCAAGCAGACGTGCTCGTAGTTTACCATCGTGTGAAGCGAAGATATATTTGTAATTTGAGCTTCACTTCTCACGATGAGACGCTAGTGCTCTTGGCCCTCTCTCTTTTTTTCGATCAGAGTCTTGTTTCTTTTGCTTCGCGAACGATCGTGTCCGTTATTCCTGTTTTCTATTGTTCATGTGCTTATCGGTGGGCTTTCTCTTTTAATGAATTTGTACCGTGACCGCTCCATGATCGAGGAACGCGAGTGTAAATATTCTGATGAAATCAAGAAAAGGCCCACTTATAAAACCGAACGATAAGACTGTTCTTTTTTTGTCACAGAAGAAATTAAGGATTATAAGAGCCAACGCTAAATTGTGATCGTGAATATAATTTGTGTACAGTCAAAATACCTAAACGTTTCCGTCGATATTTATGACTTTCAATATGTCCGCATCACATATGAATCTTTATAAAAATGCTTATATCATAACGAAGTAAGATCGTCTCACAGCTCGCAAATCAAAACGTTAACGTTCAAAAAGCCTGACTGTGTGTCATATATATACACATACACACATACAAATACAGTATCATTGTATGATCATTGTATGATGTGAATCACAACAAACTTTTCATCGAATTGTTTATCGACTGTTTGGGTATTTTTGTTGAAAATGAACAAATTATATCACGTATTCACGACTATAATTCAGCATTAACTCTTATAGGCTTTAATCTTTTTTGTGATTGTACACTAAAAAGTCTGTTTAATCTTCTCTCTCTTTTTTTGTAATTCTTTTCGAACCTGCGAATGGTAGAATTAGCAGCATGACGTTACGTATCATATCGCTTATTTTATCATTACCTATGACTGCTAATTCAATCTTCATCTTTTCTGTGTACGTACAGTAGCGTTAATTAATATATATCACTGTAGCATACCTTATTAGTGGGACATGGCACTTTAATTTTTCGAGCACTCTGGTACCGTCGTAGTGATGCGCGTACTTGGGATTATGACACGATGTCGTGATGGTTTGGGCTTGAGTTACACACGATTCGGAGGAAATTCTGCAAGAACTGCAACATGCGTGAATGTGCATGTGTGAAAGCTGCTCAATCTCAATGATATTACTGGACTTGACGTTAAATTGAGACATTAGTTCAATTTAAACTCTATTTTGACATAATACTTATATGAGAACGGCTCATATATAAATAATAACGGGAACGATTAGAATAGGAGAATTGTACATTAAAGGTAGTCTCTGTCTAAACTTGCTAGGAATGCATTGGGACGATTTTTTTTTCTCAAATGAATAGTTCACGAGGTACTTTGCTACGTTATTTATTTATTCATTAATTTCTCATTTTGTACATATAAATATCATATACATACATATATGTGTGTGTGTATGTATATATATATATATATATATATATATATATATATATGCATGTATGTATGTATCTATATATTAACTGTAAATAATATATATATATAAATATATTATTTTGATATATTCCTGTGAGAATTATTTTCGTGCCGCATAATAGTAATGGACTAGCGAAAGTATACGATCACTTAAGTACGTGACTTAAAGACTATCTTCACGCGAAAATAACGAAACTTCGTAGCGATAGTCGTATCGAGAAGGATACTCGTGTTGAATTTGAACAGAAATTGCGTTATCGTGAATATATTCGAGAAAAAGGACACTGCCAAGTGATAAACGGCGGGAAGTGTTTATAGCGCGAGTGAGAAGGCTCAATTTGCAGTGAGAAGGTACGACACCGCGCAAAAGGCGACTATATATTTTCTATGAACGTTATCTAGAGAAACTATTATCGATTAATGTAATCAGCTTAATAGCGACAAGATGAGTATTTGCTGTTGATATAGATAAACAAAATATATATTTAACGAAATGCTATCACATAAAAATGCGTGAAGATTAAGTATTTAATCGAAAATTGACTAGAATATAATGGAAAACAATTTTGTGAAGCGACAGCGTGCGAGCGAACGTGTCAGATCGTGATTGATCGTGATAATCGATACGTGATAATGACATCAAATGTCAGTAAACATAAATAAATACACATGTGTATCCGTGACATCAAAATTTCATAAAACTTATATAGGGGCCAATTTTTTCCGACCAGGAAGAAAAAAGAGAAAGACAGAGTGTTGAGTTTTGAGACATTTATATATTTATATATATATATATATAAATATACTAAAATATATAAATATATGTATATTTATATGTATATATATGTTAGTATGTATTTCGATTATGTAATTTCCTATTGTGATGGAATAACGTGATTATTAATACAGTAATTACTGCATATACATACATACACATTTATACACACATGTATATATAGTAATTACTTTTGTACTTTTACAGTAATTATTATTACAACAGATATATAATACATAATTTTTTTTTCTCGAAAGTTATAACGAGAATTTTTTGTAGAACAAATATTAACTCAGGTACGTTGTTGGAATTGAATAATAATGTAACGCGACACGTATATATAAATATTATGTAATACTTTGACCGTGAAATCAAATATTGTAAATTTTTATTCGCCGGTGGCCGATATTGTTGGATAGTGCACATACCTGTTTGTCGCGATTAAAATGTTAAGAATTGTATATTATGGCGTATGACACGCAAGAACGGTATTATATTGATAAAGTCGAAATCGTGAGTGTCACTGTTAATTGTTATTGTCACGATTATTGTCGCCATTTTAACACGAACAAACGATTAGTCGCACTTTTCTCCCGTGCAAACACGAATATGTCTTAGAAGTGCGACGGTAAACGTAACGGATTCGATTAAAATGGAGTAAAATATGTATAATAAAAATATATGATTTAGTTGACGATTTCTCCGATAGCTATATTACATGTTCAGTTTTTGATAATTATCGAAGCTTATATCGGACGGAATTGTTGTTAGATAGACGTATGTATTTTTAGTGTGCCGTCGCGACTTTCTCATGACGTATATACAGCCACAGATACGATGAATTTATTTGAGACACTATATATATGTCGTAAAAGTCAAACTATTTTCGTAATGGAACGATGTACACGAATTTTGTATTGACGTCCCGTAGAGATGTCCCGTGTACGCTGCGTGTAACGCTATCCTGGAGAAAATCGCGCATTACTTTCTGTGATTCATTTAAAGTCATTAAAATGAGTACCACATGTGACTTTGTTGATTTCCGTTAATCCGATTGATTTATTACCAACATTACATAATGATATATGTGTATATATATATATATATATATATATATATATATATATAT